ATATGTTGTAGGACTCTTATAGCGAAGTGGAGATTTTTTGTTAGAGTCTTGTGAATTAAAGGGAAGCTTATTATTTAACGCCAACAAGACCATGAGCGTAAAATGGAAAATAGAGGTTCAGGTATTCAAGAAGACAAAATGAAATAATAGTGCACGATATCTTTCACATATAGGATAAAAGATAAGCGAATTGCAAATCATTTCTTGAACGACCTAGGAATTCTTATCAGCAATTCAAAATTGAACTTCACCTAGACAGCCGTACAACTCTACTCGCATAGTTACCCCACCAATCCAACTTGTGGGTCTGAAACGGATGTATCTTGCCCTGATTGGTGGTGAAAGGTCATGATACACAACGGTGTCTTGGTCTGTATTTCCAGCAAAATTCTAGAGAGAGTTGGAAATTAACGTTGGCCTTAATCGGAGTATTAACGCTATTCCTTCGATAAGTTTTCTTGTTGTTTTCCTTATCAGCCCTGAAACTGCTTTCCATCATCCCCCAAAAGTGGTATGTACTAATAAAATTTCATCACAACATACCGCCTTTAAACTTTCGTGTTGATCGGTTTGCATTTACTTGTTAAACTGACTAAACGGTATTTTAAGGGCTTATTCCTTGGAGAATTGCAGTGTTTTACCCTGATCTACGTTGAATTCTGTATTCTAGAAATTGGTCGCTTAGCGAAGTGGTTTTCCTCCCACAAGGTATTTCTTAACAATATCCCCAGTTTGTATGAATTTTATGGAAAACGAAAGAAAAAGTTATTTCGGACAATTATCAAACCTTGGCCTCGTTATGTCCATGCTCTTTATAAAAGTAGAAATTTATTCCGTCGTTGCTGTAAGTCAGATGGTACTTGGTTACTCTATCCGGCGAATTAAGGATGTTTCGTCCTTGTGTTGCAACCCTTGTTATTTTAATGTATCGATTATTCAGATCAATCTGCAGCCACTGGTTTTCATCATCTGTGAGAGCCACCCAGCCCCCTGCGTTGTGCTGTGTTTCTTTTACATGAAGTCTACCATAATGAGCTTTTTCTTTGTGACTCCATTCGGAAGAGGCGCTCATTTGACTGTCGGAGATGGCGCCGCTTTCCACCCCTTGAGCCTCTGCACACTCTAAATGGTATAAATGCTTTGTGTTGAACACAACTTGCATGGTTGTTTTTCAATTGCCAATTCACGCCAATTTATCAAAGGAGTAAAATGGGTTTGGGTAGTCAAGTCTTTCGTTTTTTTTTTCATTGTATCATACCAAATTGTTACCGAATGATTAAAAACTGCTCTCTTATATAAATTGCATTGTTTTATAAGGAATTATAAGAGAGAGCTACAAACGCAAAGAACTGCCATATTTTTTTAGGTGTTTTATATCGGCAACCAGCTGTTGACACGTCACATGCCTTTGGCACCTCTCTATCAAGTTGATGAAAGAATTGCAAAGTGTTCAGGTCAACGTTTCTCCACAATTAAGAGCTGTGTTTTTTTTTTAGGTAATCACATGATTTCGAGTGCAATTTGGAATAAGTAAGCACGACTAAATTTTTTCAAAGACCAACAAAATTACACGAACCCGTAGGGCGAGTGCAATTTGTAGTCTTCGAAAAAATTAACAAGTGCTCCTTTATTTCAAATAGCACGAGAAAAATCATGTGATTACGTATTAATGATATACATGAAAAAATACAGATAGCTTATCATAATTATGCTGAAGCACAACGCGCGCATCAAGTCCAAAAATAATTTATTCAAACCTGCAAGTGACATTGTATGTTCAGTCAAAAAAACCGCGCCCCATCAGAACAATAATATGCAATGATATTTTCACATATTTAAGGCGCAAAAAAGGGGCGCAAAAAAGTTCAAAGTCCGGCTTTAAGTTCAAGAAATTGTTTAGTATGTCTCCAAATCACTTTCGATGGAATGGAATCGTTGTTTGCGAGGTTTAACCATGTTTGTTTTTAATTTCGGCGTAGAATCGCTCGAGTAAAGTGTTAAGCTGGGCCGGCTCGTAATTTTCGATCTCCTTGGCAATTCCCTTCTCTAAAAACCACTTTTTCCAAGCCCACAACCAAAAAGCAGTGATTTTTACAGCGTTTTCGTTGTAACAGCTGCTTTTCAGCCGCACTATAGTTGTTGCGGTGGCAAAAGAAAACCAATTTAAGACGCCGGCCATTGTTTCGCTCGCAAATTTTTTGCGTATCCAAATGTTGCGACATCCAAGGCCTGCATTTGATTGGCTATCTTTCTTTGCACTGAAATAACCCTCTTCTGCATTGAATTACTTGAAAACTTCATTTATCTTAACCAATCAGAACTGAGTAATTTTTTCATGTATATTATTGATACAATAATAACAATAATAACAACAATAATAATAATATTGATAATGACAATAATAATAATTATGATTATTTTTAAAACGTGGTTGTTCGTAGATATGGAATTTTTCTCCTTGAATATTCGAAGAGAAAATCTATATCTATGCTTGCGTATGTATTATTCACTATGTAAATTAACAACAACAACAAAAGTAGTGAATGCCGCAAAATCTTTGATATAGATATGAGGTATACTGGAGGCAGAAGAGCCTAAAATTAAGAGATACAATAGTTATGAAAAACTGAAATCTCAGAAGAGGTTTGGAATTTATTTGCGTCCAAATGCACATGGTAATTTTAGTGCATGTCAAGAATAACACCAACCTCAAAAATGTAAAAGTCCCCAAAAGGCTACAATTTATTTCTTTTAGCAACTACCTCAAAATTCATTGCAAAAGTTAACGTCAAAAACCCAATTCAATTGAAGCAAACTCACTGGTGGTTCCGTAAACCTCGACTCTAAGGCAGATAGATCGTTGCCAAGTAACTGGTAGAAAACGAATGTATCTTGCATAAACCGGAACTTCCAGTGCATGTTGGTCAATTGCGTTGGATCCACCTTGTCTGTGAAATATCTATTACGTAATAAGAAAATATAACGCAGTCACAGGTTTTTCAAATAATTTTTTTCAAAAAGAGGATTCAATAACGATAAATATTAGATTGTAAACAACTGAAAGGAACCATTATGGAGTGGCTTATTTCCAATGTTGTCGCAGAAACTGAGATGCAGAATATAGATTGACGAACGCGCCCTTTCGACCTGCCGACAAGCGATACCGTTTGATTATGTTATGTTGGCGATAAGTTACCAGAAATGATCTCGTCAACAATTGCAAATCTGAACATCATCGATAAACTTGCGAATCACACTGTCTGCTGGGACTCTATGCGATGATCAACCACAAGCAAAAATAAATTTAAGTGACTTACTCTAAAAAGCTGGTTCCTAACTAAGAAAAGAAATGTCAGTCAGTACTACCTTCAACAGTCCTTCTCAGGATTACTCTCACCCGGACGATCAGACTGCACAATAAACTCTTATTCATGGCTCAAACCGTTTACTACTGAATCTAACTGTAGAAAGATGAACTATTAGATGCACCAAGACATTTTGGCCAAAATCTTACCGCTTCCGAGCCATTAGCTTCCTTATAAGTTGGCCAACCGTCCTCATAGGATTTAGAGTACGCTAGTTTAAAGTCTATCACCCATTCATTGCCATCGATGTCTCCTTGGGTTGCAACAGCGCACACTTCAATAACTTTCCCGAGATCGACTTGAAGCCACTGATCTTTATCATTTATTTCGGCGCACCATCCATCTCCTCTGTTACCGTTCAGACGTCCATATGATGGTAGGGCGTTGTAACCGTTGCTTTTGTTATGACTTTTTGCCCTCATGAAGCTGTCAAGGATGATACTTGGATTGGAAACTCCAACGGCATTACTGTAGCAGTTATCATGGGTTTCTGCGTTCAACAAATTTGAATATTCAATTCATCACAGCTTTAACTTACCTTATTGCCGCTTATTGTTAACTAAAATTAACAGGATCGTTTCGTTCTACGATGGAAACGTTTTGGATATTGTGTCACCTCTAGGACGCGCAGAAAGGTACAAGAGTGGATGCCGTGAGATAGAATTCAACAGCAAACAAAAATAAGGCTACGAAATCAAAAACTGTAACTTTTTTTCTGCACTGATAGCATATATTAACTTCAACATTTACCTAAATTTGGAAACTACTTAAAAAATTATTCAACTCGTCTAAACCGTCCTGCTTTGGACTTAAAACATACATCTCACGTTCGCTGAAATGCAATATTTTCAACTTCTCTTAAATAACAATTTATCATGCTCCACGAGGATGTCTTTGGATTATTATGCTTTGTGAAGCTAAGCGTAAATATGGAAGAAACTTTTGTCAGCAGCTGCCGGTAATGCTTTAAAGCGTGGATACCTGCAATTCTTCGACAGTTCCACCGTAGCAAATAAGATATACTTAGCAACATAAGACATCCCTGCGCCAAGCAAGAAAAATATGTTTACATAGGCCTAAGGAGCATAAGTAACCCCATTCTGCGCAACCTACATAAGTATCTCAATCTTGAAAAAAAAAACCCTGTTACTAATGAGTGTCCTTTAGTACAAAATCATAGGAGAAAAACATACCTCCACTCCCTAAACCTCTGCTAGGTACCACGATCAAGATTTGTACCTATAGAGAGAGGGATTTTTTGTTGTATAAGCTAAAAAAATACGTTTATCTCTCAGTGTACCAGTCTAAAAAGGAAAACATTCAGATGTCAGGCTGTTTACCTTTAGTAAAAGCAAAGGCCCTTGGGCATTCATCTCGTCTCTTCTTTACTCTAAACCGAGCAAAAGCATGTTACGAAGGCATCGTTTCAGTACACAATCCTAATTATAATTTTTTCGCTGACAGGAAAAATTTCCCCGCTGAGATTTCAGTGAAGGAAAAAAACACATTAATTTTTTAACCAGGCTATGACCACGGAAGCGTATATTCTTGAAATAATAATCAACAATTGAAGAAGGGAAATTGAGTAATTTTCCTACCGTGCTGCAGGCATGTTTCTTGCCTTAAATATTCGTTCGAACGTTGTGTCGATACCAAGGAATGAAAATAGTATCATTTATATAGTGGTAAGAAAAATAGAAATACGATTTTCTTTAGATTGAAGGTAACAAACAATTTAATTTTTTCTTTTGTCCCATTTGTTGTTATGAAAGAAAATATTGTCTAAATACATTGCTTTCTTTACCTCCTCATGGAGTTTTAACTTCCTTAATTGGTTAAAGTAGCCTGTTTCAGGCCATTGGTCATGGAAAACAAGTGAAATAGCAGGTGAGCGACGCTTGCGACTTCCTTGACAAGCCAAGTCAACCTTGGTACACCCACCTTTTGATTGTATTTGCTGACTGAGAGCCTGGTACAAGATGGTGATGAGTATGATCGCACATATCAGAGTGTTTAGTTATCCTAAGCTTATCCACCGATTCCACAAGCTTTTCGTCATTTATTCTTTCGATAGAAATTTTTTTTTTTTAGGAACTGTTAGCTTGATTATTGATTCTGCTCATAGTATACGTATTTTACTCATTGTGTGCATTTGTGAATATGAATGAGAACCCCAACTGTAATATTATTTTGCTAAACTACCTAGACAATGACTACATGGTTAATGCAAAGGTCATTAAATTATGAATAGATAGGCTTTCCTAGACACAGTTATTTTGGATATTCCAACAATGATAAAGGCGGGGGTTCATTAAGACAGTTTTCAATCGATACAGTCTTCTGCAAGCAATTCGTTCCTTAACAATAAAATGCAATTTCCTTCAAAATAAGAATAAGAATTTTATTTGGATCCCCAAAAATAACTGTGTGTGAGTGAGTCTAAATTCCCATAGCGTTTGAATTACAATAATTAACTAACATGTTCTAGATTATTACAGGGGACTCAATGAGAAGATACAAAAAAGCCAATCCGCACTTTTTTTTACCCAATCCTTCGAGTCGACTTCACTGAAAAACTCAAACTGCGTTGCTTTCTTAGACAATAAAGCGCATTAATATACACACTCGCTTACCTCGAAGAAAACAAAGCATTAGATAGGCTTACATGAAAAAAACCTTTAAAAATTTTGAGAACAATCATTTTTTTTTGCATACATTGGTTACGACGTACATGTAACTGTGTAAATATAAGTGAAATATTTTTTATATCAATTTTTTTACTTTATGAATTTGGTCGTTTACAAAACGCTGTCTGACTTTCAATCTTTCAACGAAGAGTCTGACTGATCCTGTGGATATCGCTGTTTGCATGAATATATTGTACTCATAAAAATTTAACACGTTATTCTCTCATACGCAAGAAGATATTGGGTCTCTAATTTTGCTGGAGAAAAATAAGAGTGAGGAGGCTGCTTTTGTTTGTATAACAAATTTTGGGCAATCTCAATACCCCTTTTCAACAGAAGCCCTTCTAGTACAGGAGCAGTATAGATATATTCTAACTTCCGTTATGATACAACTGTGCCGTTAGAAAACTCTTAATTTTATTCTCCCTAGCTCTAAAACGTAAATAATGAATTAAAGTGGAAAACGGCAAACTATTCTTAGGGTGTTTTTGATAATTGAAAATTTGAAGCCATACTAACAAAGTAGATTTTCCCTTTAAATTAAATTAGAATTTTAATTTATATTTTTAACTTTCCAAAGTGATACCTCATAATCTCTTCAATTCCTTTAACAACTAGATCGACGACTATCATTACCGTTTGACTTTAGCATGGCGATAAAGAATTAAGCGTAGCGAATTCACTGATTCCTTTGAGATGGGCAGATAAACAACAAGTGAAGATTTATTTTTTTTAGAGAGCTTAGTTCTTAATAATTTAAATAGGGAAACTTCGGTATTCCTCTGTTTTGATAAACAATAGCTGTGGTCACACTACGCACTTTTGCCCTGGGTAAACTTGACTTGTTGACAGTTTTACTTGGGGAAACTTAAATTTAGAAGTGTGGCCGATTTTTCCCCAGGTAAGTTACTCCGGGAAAATTTTATCCATCGGAGCTTGAATATGTCAAGAGAACAATAGAATTTCCCATGACATTTACCCCACATGTATTAGTCGTGGTTACACTAGCCCCTTTACCCATGGCCCACGGGCAAGGACGTTTTTGTGTGTAACCGCTTTCCCCAGACCGAAACTGCCCTAGGGTTATTTCCATGGATACATCAAAAAGAACAAAAGAACTTCCCATGACAGTTCCTGAACTGAAAAATTCGGTTATCTGCTCTCTGAGGCGGCTTGACCAATCATAAAGCAGAATCCCAGTGTTTTGAGGTGGTTATGCCAAAAAACTGACTGTTATATTTATGGAGGACTGTCATATAAAAGGCAGGAGAATCACTGAAATTTAGCTTAATAGTTCTCGATTCGTAACATCCATGTTGCTCTGTACTTTTCCTGCATCGCGTCTCACTAATTATATACGTTTCATTTAAAGCCTATCGCTGTTCTAGTTTCGACCGGTATAGCTGCACGAAGTATAGTATCTTGTTTGTTATCTTGATAACAGTAGCAACAGCCGTGCAAATGAAATGGAATGATGTTTCCCTTGTAACCCGAAAGTTTTCTTTCCACCACATGTTCAAAGCATTTGAATTGAGCAAGTTTTTGAACTAGTACTGAGGCCTTGGAACGATGAATTGCTGTCCTTGTTGTCAAAGACGTATAAGTAGACATGTATCTACGCTGGTCGTAGATACATATAAAAAAGACAGATCCAATCTGATTGGTTCTTTACGCGGTCAGTATTTTCCTATCTCTGTCCACGGGCGACGGTGACGCTTTCTTGAGTCGCCGAGTACATCCCTACTTTCGTTCTATTTTTCATGAATATATCTCTTTTTTCCGGCTGGGCAGTATTTTAAAGCAAAGAAGTTGGTCACCACCTCAGGCCGATAAATAACTTGTTTATCCTCTCTTTTTTCTCTCTCTCTAATCACTTTGGTTGACAGAAAAAAATTGGTTCCAAAATGAGTTATTATTAGCAATAGTGTCATTACGTGACAAGTGGCTTAAAAACCGTCTGCAACTAATTTTAATCGTTCACAAAAAGTACCTAGAAAGTTAACACGTGAGGTATTTGGTTACAGGTGAACTAATCGATGGAACTTTCATTCATTTATTATCTGAGTTTTCTCAAACAATTTGTTCGTAGTGAAAGAGCGAGCGAAGTTTGAATTTCAGTCCTGCAACAAATATACGCTCTGGTGAGTCTTTCCAAGTCCGTTCAATTTGGACATTTGTACCGTAAATTGCACAACAGAAACTGCATGAAATCTCCTTGTGTCTCGTTGGAGTGTATCTTTCGAATTTAGTTTTTGTAAAGGAAAGACCAGATTTACACACGCCATTGCAACAAACGAACGAGCAAACTCTCACAACTTTAAATTGAAAATTTTGAATTTACTTACAATTACTTTCCTCAGCGTTTACTTAATGAACAGAGGTAGTTCTTCGTACACGAATTAATAATGGATGACAGTGAATAATACTTTCCGTTTAATAATAGACTGTGAAGAAAACATTGTCGTGACAGTCCTTGCCAAATTAGTTTCGTTGTATTCCAAAAGTGTACATGCGCTTTTTTTTTCTTACGCGCTCCCTAATCTTAAACGGCAGAAATCGCCAGAAACTACGACGGATACACAGGGCATGAGTAAGTTTTATTGATTTTACGTCTAAAATTTTCACATATTCGAAATATTTATCGTCTTAAATCGACCATATTTCGTTCCCCATACTATTCCTTACAACGTGTTCAAAATTTTCAACGGTTCCTCCCGTAACTTAACACTGAGTCACACAACGCGTGACGCGTTCATGAATTCAAGGTTGGCTTTTTCTCGAGACGTGAGCTTGGGCCGCCTGTGGTTACACTTACCTTTCCCTCTCCGCCTTTTGCTTTTTCTTGTGCTTCCCCATAAATTATGATTGAAGTATCGAGATTTAGAGAAAGAGCAAATCGAATAAACAAATGATATATCAATATTGAAAAAGACTGCAAATTTTCTGTAATACTGCGGCTTGTGTCCCTCCACGTGCTCTGAGTGACTGGTGCAGTTTTGACCGTTCCTGGCTTTTGTCTGGCTTCCAATTACAACTATGCTTCCACGGCCATCAGGAGAATATTACTTTTTGAATGAATATTTATTTTTTTTTATTTTGGTCAGTCGCGAGTCAGAAGTGCCAGAAAGTTCGAAAGAGTCGAAAAGGAAAAGAGTATCAAGTAGTAAGTGTTAAGGTCGATACCTCGACCCTAGGTGCCAGATAAAAGTGGCGCAGTTTCCGGTGCCAACGCTTGCCGTGCGCCCAATTTGCTTAAAAAACCGGCGGGGAAAGCAGGCAAAAGCAAAGTATCCAAGTTGTCAACAGTTAAATTCTTTTTTCACAGAAATTAACAAAATTCCTCGATTAAAAACAAAATTAAGCGTATCTTTTACGAGGTCACCTTCCAACTGTTGTCATGACAACCAGTAAGTTAATCTCACAGGACGTCCTAGTGGCCATATCATTATTTAGAGGTGTTCCAAAACAATCAAATAGCGACCATATTGATGTTCCAAGCAAATCCTGTGGGATTTGAAAGCTCACTTTGAGCACCGATTGACCACCCGAGTGAACTGCACTCTACAGTGGTTGCATGGATGCGGGTGAAACCGTAAATACGATTTGAAATGGATTTTCAGCAAGTAGATTCTGGATTCCCTTTTCAGTGGGATCCTGGATTCCAAAAGCTGGATTCTGGATTCCAGAGCCCAGTATTCTGGATTCCACAAGCAAAACTTTCCTGGATTCCGGATTACCTTACATGGGGCGACTTTCTATTCTAAAAAGTTCTTGATCATGTGATTTTTGCAATTCTTTTTCATAAAAGCCACCTGTCACATTTTCACCCTTTTAACTACTGATCTTTTTAGGTCACTGGCGTTGTTGGCTCTATTGAATTTACAACAAATATTTCTACGGTCCAGTTAGGAGTGTAAACTTTATGAAATACCTTTTTGTTAAATTTACTTAGACGTTTTTTATCACCAATTTTAGATTTAGGTTTTTGTATTTTATCAGGTTTTTTTGAAAAATGAGAATTAAGATATGCTATGTTTAACTTTCTCTTTCTTTTGTGTCTCACTTGGAGTCATTTTAATAGTGTTGTGAAAAGTATTATTGTATTTATGGACAATGTCTTGTGAAATATTAATGTAAGTTGTATCATTGATTACTGTAAATTGCTTGAACATCAAATGTTTTGGTAATAATATAATAGTCATCACCATCATCATCATCATCATGGTCATCATCATCATCATAATCAGCATCATCATTATCATCATCATCATCATATTTATACAGGATAACCCCATTACTGTAATAAGCACTGGTATCAAAGGAGGTCCTGTTCTTAGAGTACCTGAGTAAAACTAAAAAAGGTCTAAAAGGTAAAAATTCATTAGGGACTGTCACATGGCCGGAAATATATAAAAAGAAGCATACATCTGCATATAAAACTCATCATCTAATTAGGGAAAAAGTCTTTAGTTTCCCTTGAGAATTTAGTGAGGGATTTCTTTGATTTAATAAAACAAGGAAGACCGTTAAATTCCATCGCACCAGTACTTTATAGAGATCCATTAGCAACTTCGAGGTTGACTTTCGGAATACGAATGTCATTACAGCGCGTAGTCGAAACTGTGTGTACAGAGGCATTAAAATAAGCATAATTAGTTAGATAAGGTGGTACTGAACCAACAAGCAACATCACAGTAGTCAAAAATAGGTAAAATCAAAAAGGTGTTCAGCTGCAGCCATGGGAATAGAGATTATAGACTATAGTTAGCTATAGTTAGCTCCACCCTTAAACTAAATCAATTCAGACTCGGCGTCGAATTTCTTTGTGCTCCTTATGCTATATATACATATCTGCAAATCCTTTGGTGCTGTTTACTAATTTTTTTTCTGTCCATTTATTGGAGATTAGATTGATTTCCTTGTCACTGAACCAAGATGTACCCAATGGTTTTGATGTGTTTGTCTCCATTATCTCCTCCGTGCTTTGCCTCGTTCCCACAAGTGTTTGAGTCGTCACCAATCCCACCTGTGCCAAAGCCAATTCTGGAATCACAGGTGTTGCAATCATATCTATCGTTTGCAATGATACCAATTCTTGCTTTGGAATAACTTTTATGTATAGCCAAAGCATTGAACCCCTCCTTGTAACATGTTTTTTGTAGGGAGGCCTCAGAGCCAATCAGCGACTTCCACGTGTCACGACCCAGTGACGTGTCACGATATTGCCCGTCCGCAATCACAGAGTACAAAGAGCTGGCTTGCTTCCGGATGGTAATGAAACTGAGCAGATTACCGAGCTTCATTCCTAGGCAGATCTTAGAGAAGGACGTGTTCCAGTAGGTCGGTAGCTTGGTCTCTTGTGAATCAAACCCATTCTCCCCTCCTTGAGGATTAAAGTCATCCATGTTACTCCAACGTTGGGAATCATAATGGAAGGTTGGCTAAAAGATGGAAAATTTGAAATAAAATTGATTGATGGTAGAATCCAGAGGCAAATAAGAACTAAAACGAGTGGAATCGATCAAAACGTTTCACGGTAGGAGTGGGGAACGTAATTTATCTATTTCACTCGAGGTTCAAGATGTCTAGCCTGAAAAGTAATGACGATCTCTTCAAGGTAGTTCATGTTAAGGGGGTACAAATGGCAGATAGCTACGGCAATTGTATTGTAAATATTGATTCGAGCGCGTGGTGTGCATGATAATTAGATCAAGAAATGGTTTAACCTTTTGTTGCAAAAACGTTTGATAACTTTTTTCATGGACAAGTCACGTGCCAAATGTTTTCTCTAAAGCGAACATCTGGCTTACGAGTAAGAATGACGAGAGACGAGATACCTTTGTGCCGTCGATTTTCATGACCAGCGTCCATCCTCCGCCTCTGCAACCCTCAAGGTCATCAGTCATGTGACAGTAAACATAGATCTTCTTATTACTCACTAGAATTGGGTAAGCTTTATTTTCTTGTGACCTGTGGTAAAGCCGTTTTTTCTTAGTGTTACGTGTTACTCCGCGTAACTGTTAATTTTCTTCTAAGTGAAAGAATAGCTTTTTTTTTTCTAATTGAGTAAGAAGGCCGGATAGAAGGTATTTGGCGTACGGACCGAGAATTTCATGAAACTTAAGCATATCCATGCATCTCTTCCTTTTATCCCCTTTCTTGCATGAGCTAACAGCGCAGGGCAGTACAGAGTTTTGCGGCCCAACTCACGCTATTGCGCACCGCCTTCATCCGAGGAATTTTTGTCATTATTACATTATTACATAATAAAACATTTTTTTTCAGGTCTCCTAGATAGACCTAATAGCAGAGGACTGATTAAAATATAAACCAAATAATCGACAGCGCGCTCCTCCAGAGAACCTTTGATAGACTCATTTACACAAGAGAAAATACTTATCTTTAGTCAGTCGTCGATATTATTACTCAATGTGTAGTGTTAGCATTTTTTTACTGTTTGATTTCTATTCTTGTAAATACGTTAGATGTTGCAACGGATTTCTCAATGGCTACCACCAGCGCTTTTCCATGAGAAAATTATCTATGCTTCATAGTTAAACACCTCTTGCTAACTGAAGTTAAAGTGCGAGTGACCTGAGTGCGAGGTCTGTACTGTAGGTTATGGACCCAGTATTTATCAAGCGTGGGCACTTAAATCCGAGTGGGAAAAACGAGATTCCGTAGCTTATAGCAACGACAAAGAAAAAGAGATTAGGAAGATAATTAAGATACCTCTGAGTGCTAATAGAGGGCGAAGATTTCAATTCAAACAAACTTTTGAATTTAGTAGGCCGTACAGTCAAATACAGCCCGTTAAACTGGCCAATCATAGCGTACGTATTAACTGGGAGATACGATATGAGGTGTTATCACACACCACAACCTCTGTAGAAAAGCAACCTTTCTTCATCGCAATCTTTTTCCTCTATCTCTTAGGTGGCAGAGATGGTGAGTTTTTACCGTAGTATATTATTTTTGTTCTTACACCTCAACTCCAACCAAGCTATCGATAAGAATTATCAATAATGACTTACCCTTGATTTTCTAAAATCTCTTTACAAGAATGAAAAACCAGCCCTATAATCAGATGAAGAACAGAATATCAAAGGTTATGCGCATATTGCAGATTTTATGAATGCACAGCCCAATCTGATGATGTACCTATCCTGATACGCGTACTGCTCTGGATGTTTAAGATTAGTTCAAAACTGATCAATTCTAACTCAGTAAATGTCAATCGATGTGAGAGACATTTTTTGAATAATGCTGGTTGCTTAAGAAGATCTCTTAGTATTTTTCATTATTTTTTTTTTCAGTCTGTAACCAATTACTTAAATCGAAGTTAGGAAGAGCGAGGGGAGGATTAAGGTGGTGAAAAGTGATAACTTTATCGTGTGCAGTGAACAAAATAGATTGTCGTGTATTTGCAAGCTGAAAAGTGGGAAAACACATGATTATTTCGATCAGGCAAAAATTTCAAACGTTATTAGAAATATTTTCTTTTCTTTCGTTTTACAAAGAAATGCAAGACTTGAGTCAAGTTTACCTTTGCAAGTTCGTCCATCTCCAGAGTATCCAGGTTTACACGAACAGGTATAGGATCCCTCGGTATTGATGCACACAGCATTAGCACTGCAGCCATGTGATCCCTCAGTACACTCATTGACATCTGAAAATGTTATTTTATCTTAATTGTCAATAACATATTCAATATTTTTCATCATTCGATCGAAAAGATAATCATCTAACATTGCCTTTGTCTGCTTAACGAATACGCTCTTAATCTAGGAAGAGCGAGGGGAGGATTAAGGTGGTGAAAAGGGATAACTTTATCGTGTGCAGTGAGCAAAATAGATTGTCGTGTATTTGCAAGCTGAAAAGTGGGAAAACACATGATTATTTCGATCAGGCAAAAATTTCAAACGTTATTAGAAATATTTTCTTTTCTTTCGTTTTACAAAGAAATGCAAGACTTGAGTCAAGTTTACCTTTGCAAGTTCGTCCATCTCCAGAGTATCCAGGTTTACACGAACAGGTATAGGATCCCTCGGTATTGATGCACACAGCATTAGCACTGCAGCCATGTGATCCCTCAGTACACTCATTGACATCTGAAAATGTTTCTTTATCTTAATTGTCAATAACATATTCAATATTTTTCATCATTCGATCGAAAAGATAATCATCTAACATTGCCTTTGTCTGCTTAACGAATACGCTCTTAATTTCAGGAAACAATAAACACGGCCTAGAATTAGCTTTTTCATGCAATGTTTCCGGATGAGATCCACTTAATGGGTAGACTCCACATGTTTAGTCTGCGTCTGCTGAAAGACGATCTTTTTTTTTTTTTTACACGACTCTGGATCGTTCTGTTAGTTTTGATCAACCAAATGATATTGGGGTTTACCTTGGTCGCAGTTTTGACCTTTGAATCCAGCAGTACACAAACAGCGAAATCCCTTTTCGGTAAAACCGCTTTGACAAGTGGCGTTGTTCTTGCAATGGTTTTTAACGCATGCGCTCTGAAGCCAAAAAGAAGAAACATGTATCACCATGATGAAAATAAATCGGTTGGCAATTGACTATTTTCAAATTTACCTCTCTCATTTAATTTATAGGGCTAACGGATAAAACTAAACTAGAAACAAAGGAGTGCTTAGTTTGTTGTGCGGTAATAATGATGAAATTATAAGGTAACGAAAATGGTAATGATAATGATAATAATAATGAGAATGATAGTGATAATTATAATGATAACGATGATGATAATCTTGAGGATGACAAAAATGATATCAATACAAAAGTGCAATAATTGAAAATTTTGCCGTAAAGCAGTTGCTCTTATGAAATGGTAAATTTTTAAATGAAGTGGCAACTACCTCAGCTGCATGGTAAAAATAATTCTCTTCCTTCTTCAACTCGTCTTCATGTCCTTCGTGAGTAGCGTTATTCAGTTCACATTCGTAGTTTCCATTTCCATCCACTCGTTTATTAAGATTAATGCTGACACAGTTGGGTTCCAAAAAACACACGTTTTCACAAAACTCCTTTTTCATAACTTCAACGATCCGAATCACGTGGTTTATCAGACGTTTGCCGTTAAATGCTTTTTCAGGCGTAAACTCCAAACTGCGGCATTGGTCTGTGTCAGAGAAGTCTTGGGAATTTTAAAAAATTCATAAATAAACAAAAAGATTAGTAGATATAAAAAAGGTGATGATATTGATAATTTAAATACTGTCAGTTTAGATTTTGATGATAAAATACAATGATAATAAAATTATTATAACAAATGTTTATAAGCTCCCTGTGTATCATCCGTCTTGATGTTTCACATTCCTCATTTAACTCGTTTTCCTTCCTCTTCGGTTTATTTTGGCCCCAAGGTGTTTTTTGTTTTATTTCTCGGTCACATGGATCTGTCCTGCCACCCGCAGAACACCTATTATTAATACGTCGACGAAACGTGCCTTAGGGTTGGATTGAGCTGCCCACACTAACAGAGAACGTTTGCAGCCTTTATTGCAGTACAGCGTTATTTAAAGACTTCTCGTTCTACGATTAGATTACCATCACTAAGGCTACATATCGACTAAAAGTCAGATATATGTTTATATTCCTTGAGCATGAAAGCAATCGAGTATTCATCTGAAGAAAAGTTGACTAAATCCAGCTTGAAATACCGGTGCGAGCAAAGATGAGCTGTACGAATAAGGATGAACTAGTCTAAAGTATAAAATATTCATTGTATTCTTAAGAACATAAAATATCAAACAATAAACTCACTAAAAATGGGCTAAAATGGCGAGTAATATAAGTCTAGAGCAAAACAGTCCGAGGAAACACGTATATTACCAGCAGTTTAGCAGCATAAACTGTTGTTTATAATCAATTTTATCACGCACATCTTTCATCTATCCATTCATCGATCCAACTCTAATTTCCCCTGTTTGAGTACTTGAAAGAAGTGGCATCTAAAAAGTGCGGTTTTATTGTGCTTAGAGTTTCAACGATGAAGGCGAAAAGCTAAAACAGCTCTTTAAACAAACAACAGGCGTTAAACGCCATCTAATTTTCTCTTGGTAGCCACGGTTTAAAAACTGACCTTGCGACTTGATAGAAGCCGAAAACGGAAAGCATAGGGGTAACAGATGACAGGAAAAAATCGAATTCTTCATATTTCAGATCGCACTCTGAGGCTTGATTCTTAAAAGACATGTAAGCTGTTGTGAAAAGTCCTCATCAAAATTTAGTTTGTGATTCCATCTTCCTGACTCCCTTTCAACAAAGGAAACTTGAAAGTTACCTTCCTGTTTTCTTCCCAATATAATATATTTTGTCTATGTGCCAGTCCGTAATTAATGCATTGAGTCCACATAACGAAACCATTGAAATGACTTGACATGACGTCCTCACAAGTTGATTGATGATTGATTTCTTCAGCAGACAGAAGTAATAGTTTGAAATCGATTTTTCTAGATTAACCAGGCGAGCAAATGGGAAAAACATCATGCTAATAATTTTCCTTTAAAATTAGAAATACACGAGTCTTATTTTCCCCCTTTTGGCCTGACATTTAACTTCCGCCTAAGACTTACTGCAATGAAAAACAGTCGACTGCCGAGTGCTTGAGCTCCGTGAAAATGTTCTGTAACTTTTGATTTCTAGTCATGGATTCTCATTATTGTTTGCCTGGATGAAATAGTCAAACATCTACAATAATCGTAAATTCCTACTCATCAGACTAGCTCATGACAAGAATACGCTAAAATCGAAAGTGTTCCAATTTAATTGACGGAATAATCCATATACTTTTCGTTTGTTTCGTTTTGTTTTGTTTCTGCACCGTTTTCTTATAATCTACTTCTTTTATGCACGGGATAGAACCTATAATGAAATAAATTTTCTTTGGCGTTATCAAAAATAGGTTGATAAGGATGCATCTAAAAAAATAACATTGCGAAAGGTGACTTGTCTTTATCATGAATTGTGCGAGTGGTTTGGTGAGAAGGAGAAGGTAGATTAATAAATAAAACAAAGTAGGATGAGAAGCAGAATTTTACAAGTTTACCTTCCATTTAAAGAAATGTACCCGTCTTTCTAGATTATAGAATCACAAATGCCAAGTTTTGCCCACTTTCCTTCGAATTTTTTCCTTGTGGTCGAACCGTTGTTTGCTGTAGTTCATATTAACATAACGGTATTTGTTCTTGAGTTAAAACGCTGCGAAAGGAGATGCTCACTTGCGGTAATTTGACTTTTTTTACTTTTTTTTTTTTTTTTTTTTTTTTTAATTTACTTAGTTTGCCACGATGAAATCACTCGCACCTGTCGATGAGGATAAATCTCCACGAATGCCTTGAGGTTGTTTATTAGTGATCTCCCTTGTTTCTAGCGGAATGGCTGGAGTCATCGTTACAGTGAGCGGTTCGCAACGTACCTAGTGAAAAGTCAACGCCAGTAAAGTGGGAAAAAGTATTAGTTTTATGAATAACACTACATACACCAACGAAGGAGTGCTGACGTGGAGAGCGTATGGAGTTGGTTCCGGTAAATTTTTACCCTGGAGTACTTTCTGTTAACTAAGCAGAAGCTCTCTTCGTCAGCTAATCAAGAATACAGATAATGCCATTTCCAACGTTTCTTTTCAAACCGTCAAAGCTAGACGAAGCGCAAAAATAATAATAAAAAATGAAAAATAAAAAGACAACAGAATTAGCAAAGGCCTCAGCAGGAGAGAATGACAGTGACGACGAAACCTGTGAAAAAGAAAGTGGGCTATTATATTGTCCAGAGGTGGGGTGTATCAAGTCCATCCAGCATTTCTCGTCCTTAGGAAAACACCTGTGACTGTATGCCCTGGAACAAGAAACGCTGTACGACAAGGCAAAGACGCAGCTAAACTGGAGCATAGCGGTGATGCCGTTCTGTAAATGAAGACGTAGATGTATCGTTAGGGAATGAAAGTCCAGCGCAACTGATGTGATGGGCTCTGAAGTCAGCGATAGTAACAGAGAGAACCTCACCGATGCTCAGAAAAACTATCTTACTGAAGTATTTCAAGAGAGAGAACACACCAGCAAAAAGGCTGATCCTTCTATTATTTCAAAGGCAATGCGAAGAGCTAAGCTCAGCAATGGCTCCAATATCTTTCAAAAGGACGACTTCTTCACAGCAGATAGTAGGATTATTTTTTTTGCTCAACAGCGAAAAATTTAACTTTCAGCACTCGCGGTGAAGATTTTGAAGAACATGAGGCAAACGGAGAGAGAGACATCCAAGAGCTTACTGATCGAGGAACTAATTAAAACTTTTGCTCTTCAGCATCCAATCATGTTTGACAAATACAACATCTGTGAAACTAAGTGCCACGCTTAGCCGTCGAAGTTTCCCATATAGGGATGCCCCGGAAGATTTGTACCGCGCTTGAGCTGGACGTATCTTCCATAACAAGTAAGCGCAAGCAACCCTATAGATATATATAAGAATTAGTTGACAAGTGTGGTTGAAAAAGCATGGAAAAAATTTCCAATGCAAACCTCGAATTTCTTGCCTGTCAAAGATCCGCTCCCTGTCGGCAAATCTTACAGATTACTAACGTACTTTGGTGATCCGCTATAGCTGAACAAGGAGGTGTTTCTTAATTTTTAAGCCGTCTATAAGAGGTAGTCATTTACTTCTTAAATTTCTGGCCTTGGAAGGAAAGATTAAGGAGATGAGCCCAACATGGATCACTGCATAGAGCGCTAAATATCTAACTAGCAAGGTTCTTTCTTTCAAAAGCCACTGTTTAAAATATACATTATCAGCACAATTAACTCTCAGGAGACATGTATAAAAATTTAAAAAATACCATGATTCATTTAATCATGATATATTTAATTATGATCGGGGTTAGATGATTGTTTGCTCCAGTTTCGTGTATTTAAATCTCGACCTTCGTTCCCGAAGCCATCTGTTTCACAGTCCAACGTTCTATTTGGCGGAGTTGTCGCTTTCAGTGGACCTCACTTTGAATTAATTAGAATTATTCCGCATGGAAACGAAAAACATGTTACTGGAATAACAGTAATAGTAAATTTTTGTTAGCAGCGTCTCGGTAATGCTTTGTAAAGCATGGAAGCCCTGTAGGCAATTCTTCCACGATTGTTCCAGTAAAACACAATTGTAACTGCAAAGGCTTACGATATAATTTCGTTGTAACACAAACATCCCCTGAATAAAGGCGACAGACACCAAACAAGAAAATACATTTCCATAGGCTTTAGGAGCATAATTAACCCATTTCGCGCAACGTTCATTAAATATCCTAATCTCGAAAAAAAACCCTGTTTCTAATATGAGTGTCCTTTATTACAAAATTATACAAGAAAAAACATACCTCCACTCCCTATACCTCTACTAGTTACCACGAAGAAGATTTGAACCTGTAGAGAGAGGGATTTTTTGCTCTGTAGGTTAAAAAGTAAGATTATTTCTAAGTGTACCAGTCTAAAACAGGAAAATATTCAAAAGTCAGGCTGTTTACCTTTAATGAAAGTAAGAGCCTTTGAGCGTTCAT